ATCCAAAGGAGATATCATTCGGAGAAAATGATTCCACTTATAAAAGTAATTTTAATTCAGCAAAAACAATATTACCTGGGTTTGCAGAGTTAGCCTTCTCCATTCAGATCATGGCAGTGTAAAATTTCACAAATTTTCTTAAAGAATCAGTATGTTTTGCCCTACAGCATTTAGAAAAGGCAACGTTTTTAGTCATAATTTCAATGACTTTTTTTCTCTTTAAGTGCTTTTTGTACCCAGCTCTCCTATCTAGTGTGAAGTTGATGATATGGAGGGGAGATGCTGGGGGTAAGAAAAAGGGAGGGTAAGAACAAAGAGAGAATGGTGGACATGGCTTATTTTGCACTGTGTTCCCATTAAAATATGAATGTCCCTATATCTTACTTCATGGCTGCAGTAGGGGAAGATGAGATAATTGGATCAAACCTATACTATCAAACATATACTATCATATGCTGCGATTCCTGAGTAATGTCAGGATGTCAGCCCTGTCTCCTGGGCCTTTATTCACTTTTATTTTTTCACACAAAAGGAGCTCCTGATAATAGATACCAGTTCAAATAGAAAACTAAGCTTTGACCTAAGCCATAAAAGAGGACCTCAGTTACATCTACTGAAATCATAGCGCCTACTCAATAACTTTTTACTCTCTAAATAATAAATATTTAAGATTCAGGAAGTAGTGTGTGTTCACTTTTCAGAAATAAGGCATTTCTCATTTGTCTTTTCCAAAATATTTAAGAATACCTATACGCCTAAAGTCTTGGTTCTATTATCTTTTCGAAAGATATGAATGCTTTCTAATAATCTTTACTTTCTGGTTCATAATTCCAAATTGACTTATCCACTTACTATCAAAACAATGACTATAGTAAATGTATTAAGTGATCTTTTGTTCTTACGCCGGTAAGATTTTAAAATTAATGAATTTTCTTTGCCCTTTTTAAGTAAATGAAATGAATGAATGAGTTTCAACATCACCAATAAGCAGTTTTCTCTAATTCCTCAAATAATAAAGTGCCATTTTCTTTCCAGAGTTTTAAAATGTATATAGTTACTATCATTATTAAACATATATTAAATATGCCCCGGAAATGGAGTTTTGTTAAAAATAAATGATGTTTTATGCAGTTCACTTATACCTTTATTCACTTCTTTTGCTCACTTCTAGGATTACCCGAGAAGGCATTAAACGATAGAAACAGAGCCCCTGCCTTCAGGGAGTTTGCTAGTCAGCAAATGGCTCGAGAAAACAAATAGTGATAGGTATTCATCACTCCCTAAAGCCTCCCGTCCAAGCGCTCCAGATGGCAGTTAGGCACCAGGCTAGGAGCCAGTGGGAGAAGTTGTGTTCTTAGCAATTTGGGGGAAATAACTTATTAGGGAGAAGTAGCAAGAATTTGCCATCTCAAGTAATTAATGGCATAATCTACCTTAGAATTAAAATCGGCTGTTTTGTGGAATTGCTCCACTCTTAGCGCTGAAAAGCACTAACCACTAGCTTGGACTATCTGAGTAAAATGGTTACCTTCATAAGAAAATATAACCCAGCACAAAGCCGTGTTATCCAAATACAATTGCACTCTTTCCCCCAAGTTAGCCATTAATTAATTAGTGCAAGTTAATTAGTACTCTTACCTGTACTAATTAATTAGTACAAGTCAGACGATCTGTTGGTTGCCATCCCAGCAGGCTGGTTTTGGGCCCCGCCGAGAATGCCTGCTGAACCGCCGGCCGGTGGGCGGCGAGCTCGGGCGCACGGTGGGCGCCGAGAGTGGAGCGCTGCGGGGCCTGGCCGGGGTAAGAGTGGAGCGCTGCGGGGCCTGGCCGGGGTAAGAGTGGAGCGCTGCGGGGCCTGGCCGGGGTAAGAGTGGAGCGCTGCGGGGCCTGGCCGGGGTAAGAGTGGAGCGCTGCGGGGCCTGGCCGGGGTAAGAGTGGAGCGCTGCGGGGCCTGGCCGGGGTAAGAGTGGAGCGCTGCGGGGCCTGGCCGGGGTAAGAGTGGAGCGCTGCGGGGCCTGGCCGGGGTAAGAGTGGAGCGCTGCGGGGCCTGGCCGGGGTAAGAGTGGAGCGCTGCGGGGCCTGGCCGGGGTAAGAGTGGAGCGCTGCGGGGCCTGGCCGGGGTAAATGTGGAGCGCTGCGGGGCCTGGCCGGGGTAAATACAACCGAGCGCCTGTTGGTACGGACACAGGGCATCGCGCCCTGGATGCTGAAAGACGTGTTTAATGAGCTACGTTAGGGGGCCCTGATTCAAGGGTTCTAGCGTGTTGACTGTCACAACGCAAAATGACAGGAACATTGCCCTGTGTGACTGACTTCTTTCTCAAAACAGGAATAAAATATGTGTGTTTTGGCTGACTTACAAAGGCAACCCAATGACTGCGTACTGCTGAGAGTGTGGCAGGGGGGAACGCTTCCGTGTTACACGCATGAAATGAAGACTGTGTCAATCACAGGGTCCATCCAGCTCTGCTCCCCTTTTCTTTTCTCCAGTTAATATGAACTTGGAATCATTTTCCCTCTTAATTGTCACAACTGTTCCTTTTCAACTCAAGTTATTAAAACTATCACTACTAAATTTTTATAACCTCATAACTGATCATTGTTTTGTCTTAAATATATCTTTATTGATCTCAGAGACAGGAAGGGAGAGGGAGAGAGAGAGAGAAACATCAATGATGAGTCATTGATCGGCCGCCTCCTGCATGCCCCCTGCTGGGGATCGAGCCCGAAACCCAGGCATGTGCCCTGACCGGGAATCCAACATCCATCTCCTGGATCCTAGGGTGATGCTCAACCACTGAGTCACTCTGGCCAGGCTACAACTGATAATCTTGCCTTATCATTAGTTCAGTTTAAAATATCATATATATTGCCCTCAAACATCCAGTGGCTTTCTCTTGTCTGACACATTAAATTTAAACTCCTTTGCCTGTATTTCAAGCTTTTCTAGAAGGTGATCTAAGCCTGCAAACCCAGCATTGTTTTACTCTTCCCGGGGTACGCACTTGATTCGGTCATTGTCCTTGCTGCCACCTCCTCTCAACTGCTCACCGCTCCACCCTGTCCCGTGTCCCTCTGCAGCAGCCAGCTCACTCCTGCTCATGTGCCTGTCTTTAAACGACTCACCGTGTCTAGAACGCCACCTCCATCTTCAGGCCCAGCTTAGCTACGGCTCTTATGAAAACATATCAGGATGCACGGATTCATTTCCTGTTTTTTTCAGTGGCTTACAGTTACAGCACACAGATCATCTCATTGTCTTCTGTTTATCAATCTTTACTTAGGAAAGAAATTATGTTTATACATTTTCTGTGCCTTCCTCTCTACCTACCATATATAGCAGGGTCAGTGTATACATACTACCTAGTTAGTTTCTTAATTGGCATACAGTATTTAATTCATTCATTATTACTTATTTATCAAACATTCTTGGCCATGTGTTTTTCTGAGTGTTTTGCACACATTATGTGACTTGCTTCTCACAGCAACCCTACTGAAGCTCAGTTTTGTTTATCCCTGAATTTATAGGTTATGGATTTGTGCCTGTTTAGTTGCCCAAGTTCACTAGCTCAGACATGGAATTAGAATTGAGGTTTGCCTTACTTTTAACTGTTCCACTGCAAGTAGAGACCATGGTCCTTGAAGGAGCTTAGAATGCTGAAGAGACAAAAATGTAGGCTATGGAACAATTTGAGACAACAGTGTTACTTATATGTATCTATACATATAGAAACATACTTATGAAATTATGACCACCACGAAGACACTAAGTACTCAATGAGTAGATTCAATTTAATCTTATGTGATTATTTTCTTTATTAAACAAATCATTGTCTGATTTACCATAGGGATGGGGGAGGGAAATGGAGGAAAAAATGCAATATTTCAAATAATATAAAGACTGGTAAACCTAATGCTCTATGGGGTTGAGTTTTCATTAGTTTCAAGATAAGAGTCAAGTTATTTGCCTACCAGGCAAAAGGGTGATTCTGTAAGTCTGGCTTAACCTCATGAAGTAAGCATTCTCTTTAAGCTTTAGCTTTTTATGTTTAGAGCCTCAATTTGTTTTTGATGTTTAGAACAACTTAACTGATAAAGTAGATATATTATACTACATCTTATATCTAATGCTGGGTTTTATTCCTTTCAAGAAAAATGTTAGCCAGATTTCTGTTTTAAATTATATGTGTAATTATATATGCATATAGAATATGTAAGTGTGTTACAGAGTTCACAGGATGCTTATGACTTCAGGTGGCTTTCCAGTCACCCTGCTCCTCTCAACAAGGTCAACTAGTGGTTTCCGTGATTGTAGATCTGGCTGAGCACAGACATCTACTATTACTTTTTACTTTGTCCGTGTTTATCTTTGTCTGTGTTTATGTATTATGAAGTAAAGTGGACTTCTCGAAAACATCTTAACTTCTATCTGTGTAGGTAGACTGACCAGATAATGTTCTTCAAATACGCCTTCCATTCCCTCTCAATGACTTTTTGTATTTCTACACAACTAACAATCACCAAAAAAATTGTTACAGGTGCTCATTTCAACAAGTCAGAAAAAGAAAGTGCAAGACTTGAAACATGAATAATAAGAAAATTACTTTGTATATGAAGCTGCATTATTTTTTAACCTACTGTGTAAAATTTAAAATAGAGCAAAGAGAGGTATCGATCGAAGAATGATACGCTTGCCTTCCCGAGACACTGGGAAAGAGGAGATATGATGACTGTTATTTGCTTAGAGTCTCTGAACATACCGAAGCTGAAATCTCTTATATGTGGTAGTATCTATTATTTCTCCCCTAAGAAGTAAGTCATTGACGTTTAGGTGACAGCTTCTTTCTTTAAATATTCCAGGGCACTAAGCAAAAATACCCATGGGAAAAATCCCATATCTGAATATAGGTACTTTCTGAGGGGTGCATTAATTTTGTCACTGCTAGTCTTGTTTTAAAAATGTCTCTCTCTCTCTCTCTCTCTCTCTCTCTCTTCTGTAGCAGTTATATGCTGCCCAGCTAGCTGCAATGCAGGTATCTCCAGGAGGAAAGCTCCCAGGCATACCCCAAGGCAACCTTGGTGCTGCTGTATCTCCTACCAGCATTCACACAGACAAGAGCACAAACAGCCCACCACCCAAAAGCAAGGTACCTTCTGAAGACGCTACATGTCTTACCATTTACAGCTTTACTTTTCATCCGGTGATATTTATTGTATACCTATTGGTTGTATATCTATATTTATTGAATAGCAACTAGGCTAAACTGGGGGTCTTCAAGGGGATAAGAGTCTAGTAGGATCAGTGAGGTGTGTGAATTTACACACATACATAAGTCATCAGTTTATTCCACAAACATGTGCTGATAGCTGTAGTAAGAAATGTGTCGCAAAGATTTATAAGATAGGGATACTGTACCCAAGTAGCTTACAGTGTGATAAAACGCACACTCATACTCTGTGATAGAAAGTCTGATAAAGAGTTACAGAGAAGGTGCTTTGGATGTTTTTAGGACAGAGAGATTACCTTCAGTGAGAGATCGTGGGGAAGGTTCCCCAAAGAAGGGGCAACTGAAAGAGAACTTAAAATATGAGTGCGATTAGGTCATACAGAAAATGTTCGATTTAAATATCAGTAACTGTTAAAATGTGGTACGGGATAGATGTAATTTTAGATATATCATTCATCCAGTGGGATTATCATGTAAACATGTGAAGATAATAAGAGTGTTAGAAGTAAGACTGTTTAGAAAGAGTTTAGTTTTAGGAGCTAAAGAAACGTTTCCTGAGAGAACATGACAAAGGATCAGGGGAGCTCTTAATAATTTGTTTCTTGACTTAGAAGAGGAGGAATGCAGAAAAATTATTCTGAAAATTTGTTGTGTTTGTAAAGACCTTACTTATTAGATGATATGTGACTATATTAAACTTTCTATGGATGAGTTAAGAAGAGTAACCATAAAATAGTTTTCCCTGAGATTACTTAGGGAAATAATCACACGTATTTTCTGACTATTAGAAAATGTTAAGTAGAAAACTGACACAGTTATGTGCCACCCGTGTCTTGGTATTTTTGCTGAATTACCTCGAAATCGCTCCTGTTCTTCATTTTATGAAAGCCACGCTGAAATGTCTGAAGAGTAACAGTTCAAGAGTAGTCACAACAGCTGAAAAAAAAATACAGGGGGGAAAATTGGAAAGTATTGAAAGATTAAAAAAAAATCCAAGAAGTTAACCCTCTCGTGCGTTGGCAGCTGCCTTTCACAGTTAACCAGTTAATCCAGAGAGAAAACTGGGAAAGAGAAGGGATCAGTTTGGAAAGTGCACTCCAACCTCTGCCTTCTTAAAACTCCAAAGTCCTTTGCTCTATTATCAAGACATGAATATATTTGCAAGTATAACCTAACCTGGCCAGGGACCTTAGGAGGTGATTCAGCAGCAATATGTGCAAATATACAGTACAAATTATTGTACATGCTACTGACGTTAGGAAATATATACAGGCCACTTGTAAGATCTCTTTCAGCTGTGTAATGGGCCTTGCATGTGGTCTGTTTAATATATACCTAAGGCCTGGCCTGCTTGTCTTTATCATGACAGCAGGACATAGGTGTTTTTTTTTTCAATGAATGTTTACATTCAATATTATTCTTAGTTTCAGATGTACAGCAAAGTGGCTAGAAAATTAAGGTACTTTACAGAGTGGTCCCCTGGCACTTCAAGCACCCACCTGGCCCCACGCACAGTCATCACAACTCTATTTACTCTGCTGTAATCCACATCTTTGTGACTATTCTGTAACTACCAATTTATATTGCTTAATCCCCCCACCCTTTTCACCCAGCTCCCCTACTCCCCTCCCCTCTGACAACTGTCAGTCTGGAAGATACATTTTCTAAAACTTGGTAATAATTATAACATTTAGTTGATGAAATATAATCTTAAAGCAGTGATATTTTTGGTGCCTCATGGGCCAGCAGTTGTAATATTTTACATACACAGGCTAACTTTTGAGTAAAATTAGTAGTTGTAGCAGCATAGCCATTGTCACACACAAATAACTGTGAGGTATTACTGTAGGTGGTGTTTTTTTTCTTGATTTAATAATGTGATTTTACATCATGCTTTATAATGATGCTTTACATTAGGACATTGCTTTTTATATTTTTCAATTACAGTTCACATTCAGTATTATTTTATATAGGACATTTTGTTTTATTATTGATCTTTTTTTAAAATTTATCATTAATGTGTTCTCCCCAAATCACTTAATCATGAAGCTTTTGACATTAGTCAACCTAATCCATTTATGCATTTATTCATTCATTCATTCATCCATCCATCCATCCATCCATCCATCCATCCATTTAGATGTTTACTGAGCAGTTGCTACAACGATACTTTCTTAGGTAACCATGGCAAATACAAAAGTGACCGAAGGTTTGCTTTGCCAAAATTAGGAAGTTGCTTTATGAACTAGATGGTTCTAGACACTCGTAGAACTCCATCGAGTTCTATGGAGTATAAGTATAAAGACTGATTATTTAAGTAATGTTAAAGTTCTGCCATATTTTGTGGTTTCACATACCTGTGGTGTTTATTTAGTACTAGTGAATAAGTGGATTATATCTGTAGCTATGATTACACATAATTTAATAAATATATTTATATTTTACCTTTAAAATTCAGTTACTTTTTGAAAACTAGTTCTGCCCTGGCCAATGTGACTCAATTGGTGGGCGTTGTCTCCTGCACCAGGGGGTTGCTGGTTTGATTCCCGGTCAGGGCACATGCCCGGGTTGCAGGCTCGATTCCCAGTAGGGGACATGCAAGAGGCAGACTATTGATGTTGCACTCTCACATCCACATCGATGTTTCTCCCTCTCCTTCTCCCTTCCTCTCTCTCTAAAAATCAATGAACTATTCTTAAAAAAAAAAAAAAGAGAGAGAGAATTAGCCCTCCTGAATTTTCTATCATATAAAGTTTAATAAAACTGTAGATGACATATATCCTTCCATCTGCAGTTACTGTAAATCACATAAAAAGTTTAACCACAAATAAAATGCCTCTTTAAGTAACAACAATTTAATGAAAATATATCCTTTCTTTGCTCAATATCCTCCAGCATACTGTCTACAAGCACTTACTGTCAGAAAAGATGTCTTAAATGTGCTTGTGTTTAGCTCAACAGTAAAGTTTAGAGGGTTAAAAATAGCCTGACCAATAACTATTACCATTGTCATTTTAATGAAGAACTTGTCCCAAAATAAATAAAACCAACAGTAAATAAAGAGGCCCCTTTCAAAACCTGAATTTAGTTTCTTATAGCTGGAATTGACATTTATACATAGCGTAATAAACATTTTCACTTTGCAAAGATGTTTTACTTCTACATAATAGTTATCATGTATTATTATATTTAAATTTTTATGCAATCAATTCTGAGTGTGCCGGGGGGTATTTTTTGTGTGTTTTATTAAAGGGCTTTGTGTTGTGTGCGTGCCTACCCAGCATAAACCAAACTGACGGTTTACATTGGAAGCACATTTATTGTTCGGAACAATCCCGTGATGATGTAAGGAAAATGACCTTATTGGCGGCTGTCAGAAATCATGTTCTCTGGGTTTTATCGCCCGCCCTTCCTCCTGTGTCCGCCTTTGCCTTTGCCTCACAACTCTAGAGGACACAAACAAAACTTATTTGCAATTTGCAAAAAAAAATAGAAGGGGGGAATCAAAAGGAGGGGGCTCCAAAAGACTGTAAAATCGTGCAGCATGGGCCCTCCGCTGCATGCTGTTTTCAATCTGCTGCGTGCCGGTTGGAGGCCCGGGGAGCGTGTGCGCGCCCGAGAAGGGATAATGCTGAGAAATGATGGAGCGGCGGTGACCTCCAAGCTCAGCCTGGAAATCCAAGACATTGATTTCACTTAGCATACCTGCTGAGAGATCCGGCGGAGTTCGCTTGTAATAAAAGAACAAGATTCTGTTCTAATGGTAATGGCGTATGACAGACATATCACTTTGTGTGTCCCCAGCACCAGCGAGGGGAGACTTGGAGAAAGGTCGCCTGACCTGCCTGCGGTGTTCGGTGCTGCACTGAGCTCTGAACTGCCGCCTGGGGACACAATTATTTGTAATATTTAGGGATAAAGAAACCTTTAGGGGGCTCGCAGTGAACCTCTAAAAACTGCTCTCAGAAATTGGGTTCTGTGAACGTGAAAAAAGAAACCGGGTCTCTTCAAAATCCGCATCGGAGAACATGGGTAGTGTTGCTTGTGGACTTATACGTACGTCCTTGAACTTACTGTTTGTGAACTGTTTTCAGTAATGCCTGACATAGTGTTATGGGTTAACTTTTTTTAATTTTTATGCTTTGATGTTATTAAGCACAAGCCAAGAAAAGATTTTTTTTTTCATGGTCTATTTTGCCAAAGATTCAAAATTCAAATCAGTAGGTTTTTAAAGTTTCTCAGGTATTACATAAAATCTTAATTCGTATATACTTGTCCTTTTCGCAATTTTTTCTCTCCTCCCAATTCTACTACAGGACAATTTATTTTTTACTTCCCAACAAAAGGAACGATTTAATTCATCAGAGATATTCTAGTAGCTCATGCCCGCACAGCTGTGTTTATGAGCAAATATTGGTAAATAACTTTGAATGGAAAGTATGAAATCTTGAACTTTTGTCACAAGATATCCTATTTAAAGAAAATTGTAGAAATAATTTTACTTCTCATATTAAGGAAAATTATTTAGTTAAGGTATTATTTAGCAGTATTGGTCCTTTAATTTTAAATACAATATTGCTGCTTTGAATCTGTTTATATTTCTTAACAAATGTTTAAATTAATTTTGTTATAGTTTAGCTTTCGGCCACAGGATGGACACAGTATCCAGGGACTTGCATTTTTGTACCACACATTTCTTTACTTAAATGATGTCTGCATTATTTGTTGAAGGCTTTTATGAACCTAGATAGCCTTTGCTTTGTGATAGTAATTGATCTCTTGATAATATTTGTTTTATAAGAACAGTAATATTTTTAATAAGAGAATTACTATCAGCTTTAAAATAGTTCTCTTGGGAGGAGAATATTCTTACTGAGTGTCACATACAACTCACACAATTGTTGGTAATGTGTAGGCTC